TATTTGCTTTTCTCCAAGTACTTGGCTATAAGGAGCTCATTGAGCAGTGTGGGAGGCAGAACATCACACTAATAATTTCAACACAAAAGATAAATGAATCAAAAGAGGTGAATGGAATGGATAGCAATAGTACAAAGAAAAAAGTGTATTCTGGGGAAACAACAAAGCTGGACTTTGGAGATAAATAAAAGCCAGTCAGGCCAACATAAAGATACAAGGACTTCCAGGTAGAGGGAATAGCATATGCAAAATCTTGGACGTATGAAATAACAAGGCATGCTGTCATATTTCAACCGTCAGTTCTGTTGTAAAAAATTAAAGTTAGCATAATTGAAATCCTTTAAAAATCATTTCACTTGTCTTTTGTGATTTCTAAAGCAATTCACATTTGTTTCACATATTAAAATTATATAGAAATGTATGACCTAGAAATTAATAGTCCTTCATAATCCCAACCAGCAGAGATATATTATTGTCTGGTATACATTTTATGTGCCTGGTTCTTTTTTTCTTACATAGGTAGCAATCCAGAGTCATAGTAATTGTTTTGAAACCATACCTAAGCCAATATAAGTAAAGGTTCTATGTGATATCCTCAGCTTTTGGATGTCTAGGATCCACTGTCTGAGTGGCAGGATAGCATAGTAATTGAATGTGAGAGCACTGAAGGCAGATGAGTCCAAGCTATGCAACTTACCAACTAGGAGACCTTGGGCAAGTCAATTACCTTCCACATGCCTCAGTTTCCCTATGTGTCTTATAAGGATCAACATAATATGTCTATCTCAAATGATTGCTCTAAAAAACAACTCACCCCCCCCCAAAAAAAAATCTAGCTGGGCAGCATACTGGACACCTGTAATCCCAGCTACTCAGGAGGCTGAGGCAAGAAGATTGCTTGAGCCCAAGAATTTGAGGTTGCTGTGAGCTGTGATGCCACTCTACTGAGGGCAACAAAGTGAGATTCTATCTCATGATGAAGTCAATAAGTCATCCCTTAGTATTGATAGGGATTGGTTCCAGGGACCATATCAATATTCCCAGGTACTCAAGTTCTTGATATGAAATGATGTAACATTTACATATAACCTATGTACATCCTCCCATATACTTTAAATTATTTCTGTATTACTCGTAATACCTAATGCAATATAAATGCTATGTAAACAGTTGTTATTTTGTATTTATTTGTATTATTTTTTATTGTTGCATTGTTGTTTTGTTTTTCTATTATCTTCATTCTATGGTTGGTTAAATCTACTAATGAGGAACCATGGATATGGAGAGCCAACTGAACTTGTAAAGCACTTAGAATAGTGCCTGACACGACCTAAGGCTCTAAACATGAGCTTGTGGTACCATAAGGTATTTATCTAGATCTCTGTTAGTGATATATATGCTGTTTGCAGTTCCTCACATGCTACAGCGACCAAATAATCTTCCAAGGCAAGTTTTGAACTGTTCTTAGCCTCTATTATACTGGGACTTCCACTGACTTACCAGCACCCAGGCTTTTTTAATGGTACCTAATAAACATGTGCTAATGTAGTTGCCTCCCCTTAGTGGCAGCACAAAATGTGTTAGGTGGAGTGTGGTGGAGTGGCTTCCAGGCCAGGCCACAGAGAAGCCACTGCAGGTTTTCTCCCTGCAGAGAAGCCAGGCCGGGAAGATGAACGCTGAGCACAGAATGAGAGGAAGCAGGAAGATGAGGCACAAACTGGAGGCCTGGCTGGAAAGAAGCCAGGGAGTGAGTGGCTCAGAAACATACACGGAGACAAATCTGAGGATGGACAAATCACAAGTGTGTTGGGGTACGAAATGATATCCCTTCTTCAAGGAGATGCTTCACTACACATATCATCAACCTGTAGGTACAAGTGAGATGTGTTAAGGCCAGCTGGTGGAGCGGTCGGAAAACACACAACATATGTTAAGTTCGTCGTTCTTATATGGGTTCTGTTCATGGCACTTAAAATAATTACAACAGTAAGGCTAAAGGTCACTGATGAAACCAGGCTTTATTGATGCCCACACCTGTAGTCCTAGCACACTGGGAGGTCAGAGTGGGTAGATTGTTGAGCTCGGGAATTCAAGATCAGCCTAAGCAAAGTGAGACCCCATCTCTACTAAAAAAACACCTCCCCTCCCCCCCAAAAAATCTAGCTGGGCAGCATGATGGGCACCTATAGTCTCAGTTACTCAGGAGGCTGAGGCAAGAGGATCGCTTGAACTCAAGAGTTTAAGGTTGCTGTGAGCTCTGATGCCATGGAACTCCACCCAGGGAAACAGGGTGAGACTCTGTCTCAAAAAGACAAACAAACAAACAAAAAACAAATGAGATATGTTAATATTAATTCCAAGACTACAGGGGTCCTTGCCCCTCTTACATGGAAACTTAGCCTCCTCCTCACCAAATCTCCTTGGGCCATTTCTGGGAGTCCAGGGGCCTGGGGGAAAGCACACTTGCCTGAGGGCAGAGGTCCTGACTTTGACCTTCTCTGGCCTCCTTGTCAATGGCCCACACCATGCCTCCATGCTCTCTAATCTGCCTTAGAGAGCTCAGCTGTGCTGCCCTACCCTCACCCAAGGAGAAGTTATTCTCCGCTGTGTCCCTTGGCAAAATTATGAATAGGAGAGAGGACAGCCCTTTATCCAAATCTCCGTCTTGAGTCTTTCATGATTTAGCTGCTCTTACTTATCTTCCTAACCGCACTCTTTGCTGAAGTCCTCAACCCATCACCCCAGGCTGAAGATGTTCACCAAACTCCCTCTCCTGTGTCCTGTCTGCTTTACCTCTCTGATCACTCAAGAGCAAATATTGACTAACCATCGTAGCAGAATGAATGTAAAACCAGTCCCAATTCTCTGCCCCTGTCTGTATCTGTGCCCTTCGCAATGGGACACTCAGCTCTTCCTGTTAAAGAGTGAAATGTCTCCCCTACCTCCTTGAATCTGGGCTGGCCTTTGCCTGGCTTTGCTCAGCTGGATTGGGCTGAAGCTATAGTGTGTTGGTTCTAAACTACATCTCAAGAGACCTTTAGCTCTTCCTCCCCCGTCCTGGTTCCTCTGGCATATCCTGAGGACAACCTGGTTAGACTATTGGATGATGGAATATTACTGCCTCAGCCAACAGCTGGCCACAGCCAGCCCCCTGCCAGCAAAGCCCAGCCAAGATCGGCACACCTGTGGAGATGATCCACATTTGTATGAGTGGGCCCAGGAGACCAGAAGAACCATCCAGTTAAACAGAGATTCATGAACTAAGTCGGTGTCATTTGAAAGCCACTGAGTTTCTGTTATACAACATTAGTGTGACAAGGGATAAATGATACAAATCTCTTTCTGTCCTCCAAAGTCAAAATTTTCCACAGATTCAAACACCCCTGTGAACTGCTCAACAAAACAGCTGAGCTCTAATTCTCTGTCTGGATTCAGCCAGGACCACTGATGGCCTTATGACAGTCTATGAGAGGGATACTGTAACAAGATGGGGGTATGTAATGTAGCTGAGGTCCGAGAGGGCTAGGGAACACTGGTCAGCCTGCCAGGAAAGGCCCACGTGAGAAGTGTGGACATGGGAATGACTTACCAACCTGGAATCTCTCTGCAAAATCACAGTAAGCTTTCTGTGATGGCATGAAAGTATTTCCTATGGAAACTGGGAAAGGAGGCCAATCTCCCCATTTTGGACTGAATTGGGATTGAATTGAGATAAATAAATGG